ACCAATTGGTGGAGAAAAACATTCTAAGGTTTAAGATGCTTTCAGGTCAAATAAGGTGCACTTTACTGAGCGGTGACTTTTGGAAAATTCTTGCTCTCTGTCCCCCATATTACCAGAATGTTGCTTAGTACACCTGAGGAAATTGTACTCTACAACATCGCTTCGGATCACATTTATCCCGTCAGATTACATCTCCAAGGAAATAGCACGCTGTATCTAAATGTCAGCACTAACCTTTATACATGAAAAATGACCTTGTTATGGAACATTAAGAATGTCAAAGTACGTTTGCAGAAAGATGTATGTTGAGTTGACTGTGAAAATGTGGACAGAGAGGAGAGTAGGAAGTGTCTGCATTCACATTTCAGCTCCATCAATCACGCTAATGTGATTGAACTCACTCAAGTCCAATCTGAAGGGAAGCAAACAAGGCCATTAATCAACATTTCAAACTCGGTGTTCTTCATTTCTGTTTGAATTTTCATCTGCACAAATAATCTTGAATGATAGACGCAGGAAGAATGACCACAAAACATAAAAGATTACTGACCTTGAAGTAACTAAATCACAACAAATTACGTGTCACATATTAAGTTGGTTGCCAATTAGCAGCAAGAGGTGTGTTCATTGTCCTGTTTTTTTCAACTTTCCACATTTCAGACCAAAATCTGGTCTGATGAGTCATCTCACCTTTCACCCTTTTTCCTTCACTCAGGCAGCTTTATGTTTGGAAAAAGCCAAAAGATGCCTTCAGTCTGCATTGACTGCTGCCAACAGTTTAATACTGCAGATCTGTAATGGTGTGAGCAGCCATGTTGTGTCATTAGATCTGATTATTGCTCTGCATGGTCATATAATAACCAAAAACTAATGTTTTACAGGTCCAGGTGGTGCAAACACTATTCCCTGACCATGATCCTGTTTTCCAAGATCCTGATGCGCCTATAAACACTGCTAAACAAATTAGAGTGGTCTCATGCACACTATTAAGAACAAGATCCTTCCATGGCCGCCCACCAGATTTAAACATCATCGAACCTTTATGAGATCGGAATCAGAGAGTTTGGAGTTGCCTCCGTCCCATCCCTCACAGAACTGGACGATTTCCTTCTTGTCAAACTATCCAGTATCCCGCTACACTTATTTGTGGGGGATTTGTGTGGCTTCCTTCAAAACAACGTTTCGGCTGTTTCCTTATTATTTGGTGTTTTTATTGTATTGTCCACCCCCTTGACTTAAGACTTTGTGTTGACTTTGACCTTAATTAGTGTCCTCTCTCTTAGGTCTGATGTTATTTCGGAGGGCATGGGAGTCCTGCTGTAGTACAAGAAGAAGAATCAACTTTATTTGCTGTGAGGCAACAGTGCTAACCACTGAGCCATCCTGCAAGATGGTGGTTTCCTGGAGCCTTGTTACCATGATGTTGTCAGGCAACCAGCAAAAACTCCAGGAAGTATCTGTACTCACCCAAGAAATAACCGAATTACCTTCAAACAAAGCCACATAACAATATTGTTATGCTTCAAGTCTGTTTCCTTCTATTGTAATTACAGGGATTATGTGCTACCAACATGCAGGTGACAGGGCCACATAGTAGCCCAGGAAAAAGCTACATCCTATGTTGTATCTAACAGATGTTGATGATGAATTATTTTCCATCCTGCCACCTAAAAAGAAAAATTATATTTGAATAGAAATTTGATGTAAACAGCATTACCAATCTTGAAACCTTTTTTTCACATAGTAGAGTAGATTTCACGGACAGAATGTTTAACTGACAAATCTGCTACATGTGAATATGCCATATGCCTTAACGCTGTAATAAATGGCAATAATTCCCTATTAATAGAACTTTTGATCTATTGATTTTCTGGTGAAGTTAGAGAGATTGAGGGGAAATTACATAACGTTGAAGTTATTATAAAAGCCTAAAAGATTTGGGGCTTTTAAGAAAACATTTGTGGCTGGAGTCCCTGACAACTCTGCTCTGTCCCTGACAGGTGACATACACTCAATACTGTGCATGGCCGCATCCTGTGTATACACAGATGGCAGGAATGAACCTGCAGCTGCTAACGTGCTGCTCACGTTACGCCTGCTGTGTAGATGTTCTATCTAACTCTTGGCAACAAAGCAAACAACCGTATTTCCAAAAATGTTAAACTACTCAAACTATATGGGAGTATAATAGCCTGTATGTTATTAGTTATGTTTGATAACAGCAGATGAATACAAATCAACATAATCAAGCCTTCATAAAATAAAGAACTAGACGCAGTGCTTCCTACTATATGTACATTTGTTCTTCATGATTTTGGACTTCCTGTTATACCCATTTTTGACATTAAAACGCTATGAATTGTGGGTACTTCCCTGAGGCAAAGTCTGCAGCTTTGCAGACTTATATAAAGTATGCAAAAAGAGCTCTAAAAAGGGCTCTCCACCACTTATCGTTTTCACAGTGGGACAGCAGAGAGCCTTGGGGCTTAATGGGAATGCAGGTCTATGAGGGCAGACATTGGGACTGGGCCGAGCAGTCAGTTGTGGGTTCAGTTTCCTGTCCACTAAACATCAAAGTTGCGTCTGGATTTGCATTTGAAGTGACATAGCGACATTATGGCTATTCATCTGCAGTTATAGAGGACATCAAGTACCACGCAAACAATAGTGTTACCCTTTATATGTGGGAGCTCTAAATCATGCTGTCCTCACGTCATTACATTAAACAAGAAGCTTTTGAATGACAAGACCTATTAGAAGAAGAAGCAAAGTACACAGGTAGTGGTGTTTTACGCTTGGCTCAAGCAAGTGCTTAGCTAATGAAAACCACGTTGGCTGGAGAGTTGGTCTTCCATCCATCCTTGGCGGATGAGTTAGGAGACTTTTGAGGGTGGTTGCTGGGTTGTAGACAAGACGAAGCTAATGATGGATGAGTTTGGGCTCCACACACGGTCTAATATCTCATCTGAGCCAAACTTTCTCTGCACCAAATTTTGCCTCATGCAAATAGTTACACTGTGCAGTGGTCAGAGTACTGCAACGAGAAGTCAAAGAAATTTATAGACAGCACCATCCTCCTGTGATCATTTTGGCCTATTTCTGTCTGCCTGCACCTTTTGTTTATTAATCCCATCAAGCCTACTTATTCAGATTTTCCCCAATACATCATTTGATTTCTCTAATTTTATATTTTTTAATGTTTTTTTACTCAAATCACTTGGAGCTCATTTAATTTGATTCACAGCGTGTGCAGCAGTTTTCCCACCTCGCAGCATGCCAAAGCAGAGCTGTTGGTAATGACTGTTGGTCTGTCAGTGCCACCTCGTTCCTGCAGACTGTCCACCTCACTGTACACCTTTTTGGCGCATACCCTCTGAGGCCCATTTCATAACCTCTGGACCCCACCCTCTAAGTAATACTTGGCGGCATTGTTGAAAATAAACACCTTTGGTGATTTTCCAATTAAATCCCTGCTTTAGGATTGGAGGCCACATAATTCAAGCCAACCTCTGCTAATCAGTACGCCAAGGTATTCACAGCTGCTGTTAAACAGAACAAGTTAAAAAAAAATTTTTTTTTATTTTTCAGCTTTAATTTGTCATTTGGCAGTGGGTAATAATGCCATGCCAAGCTAATTTGGTCCTGTCCATGTTTGAACATTGGTCTTTGGTAAGTACATGTAAAAACTGAATAAAAAATGCATTCCATATTATTTCAATTTCAATCCAGACTGGCATGTAGTCTTTTGTAGCTTCAGCATCCACTTGATACATCTACACTTCAAGGTGTTAAAGGTCACAGGTGGAGACGTATGTAGAATGAGTTATAATGGTGATAACCTTCATGTTAGTTAACTTGGCCCAAAACAAATTTGACAATTCGGTCACTTAGCTCAGGTTTCTTTACACTGGCTTTCCTTATCCCTCGGTGATTAAACTTCACATTTACTTTTGCTATGATCCAGCTTTTGACAAGAAGCAGTAGCATTCTTTCTTCCCGCCAGTGACACATATTCACAGCATTACTGCTCTCCTCTGCGCTCATGCTGCAGCTTTACATGAGTCAGTTTCTCAAATTCAGGAATCAGAACAAGTGGCCTCTGTTATGCATCACTCCAGTCTAGACAGTAACTCACATTACTTAAAGGCTAAACTGCCAGCAGCATTATTACTGGCACAATAAAGCGATGAAGACAAAGTGAATAAAACTTGAAGAAATACAGATCGTTTATGTATTTTTGTTTTTTGCAATAAGCTCAGCTTCAATGCTACTACAGAGGTCATGTGTATACACTGCTGTTAATTATGAGTAATTAATCTTCTTTGATCATACACAGATGGTTGACTTATTCACACATATGAAAGGTCTCAATGCGGTTAAACTGACAGACAAAAGTTGGAAATCCTGTTTTAAAATCTATCTTTCACAGGTTAAGTTTGATCTATTCCATGTTTTAGTCCACTGCTGACCAAAACTGATTTATTCAAATTTTTTCTTTTCTTTTGTTTTGCAGTGAGACCAACATCACATGGTTGACACGTGAACACTGGTGGAGAGACAGAGTTCACAAACAATTTGTAATAATGCTAAGAGAAACTGCACTGTGGAAAACTCAACCTGAAGGAATCAGCCAAATACCTGTCTGGAGCACGGTACAGTACGGTGTCAGCCATGAAAGAACAATAACAGGCTTTATAACTGATAATTGAGAAATGATTTTGAACTATTTGCACAGTACATAAAAAGTAATGTTCCACATTTACCAAACTCTTTGGGAACAAGTCCAACACTATATTTAAGTGTTCTCAATAAACTCAGTAGGGCCACCAAGAAAGCCTAGAATGGGTATATTTACAGAGTTGCATTGTTTGAACATAAAACAGTTCATGAGACAGACTAATTTAAGAACAGGAAGGGTTTGTCTGGGTCCATTCATAATGAAACATATGTCCCCACATTAAGTTCTTTGCATGTGAAGGCTATTGTCTGCACGCTTGTTCTGGCTGCTGCCAGAGCTTTAGGATTATTTTTAGGGCATTTGAATATTTGAAAGCAAGGCGAAGCATACTCGAATCATTTTTGTTTGTGTGGAATATCATTGCTGCTTATTTATTATCTGTGACAAGCATTCATCCACATGCAGCCCAAGTGAAGAGCAGTCGCGCTTGAGCACACTGCGCGCCTCGGTTGGCTGACTGGCTGGCAGGCTGCAGCTCGGATGGAGGCAGCAGCTCAGCCCGCACGGCTGACCGTCGTACAGTCGGCCAGCTGGTTAATATGGAATATTTTCACAGATTGAACAGCCAAATCCGTTTGCACAGGCGGAAAATAGCAGCCCTGTAGTAGCGCAAATTAGAAAACCAGTTCATTTCGTCGTTCTTTATGGCTTCTGGCTCCGGAGATGAAGAGGGGAACACGGAAGGCGCTTCGTGGAGGCTCATAGGCCCGGCCACGGGGCTTTCCAAGAAGCGCTGCCGTCTAATGTACTCCTCACTCGGACACAGCTCTGATGTCTGCCTCTTCTACGTGAAGGGGGAGTTTTTTGCCATGGATGCTCGCTGTGCACATTCCGGTAAAATCCTCTATATCCAAATCCATACCCGCTTAGATTAACCCTTAAGATATCTCTGAAGGGAGAATTATGCCATACATCTCATTTATGTAGACATAAAATAATAAGTGTAGGCTATTCACTTTCTAGGCTACTGTGAATACATATAGGCGGATCAGCAATAACATGACCTCTAAGAAAATATGAGAATCTGGTTTGTTTATCTCTCTCGCAGTTTCACACTATGTTATGTTACGCAACTTTACTAATCACATTTTCCTAGAAGGAAGACAGCAAAAGTCATTTGTTTTGGGAGGAAGAACATGTAATTAACAATATCCTGTATCTCCCAGGCGGTCCTCTGTGTGAGGGGGACATCGAGGAGGCTGATGGGGTCCTGCAGGTCTTCTGCCCCTGGCACGACTATGACTTCGACCTCAGAACTGGGAAGTCAGGGACCTCCTTACAGGTCAGTGGTGGAATAATATTGTGTTATTATTATTATTAGTATTCACCAAAACAGCTAAATGTGTATATGTATATACACATAAATACTATAGAGTGTAATATATAGTAGGAGAAAAAAGATGCTCAAAAGATGCCCAATATCATCGTTAAATCTGTATCAAACCTCCAAATACATCATATGAAAACTTGATTGCATCCCCGGAGGCAGGAGCTTTATTCGCTGACTGCATCTGGGAGCAGACGTGAACATTCCCAGTGATATGTAGACAAATCATCCACTTCTATTAGACTAGGAAGTTCCATTGATTGACACGGCATGAGAAATCAAAGCTCATCAGTCGGGGTTAAGATTATGTTCCCCTTGTGTTCTGTCAAACATCTTTTCTTCCCCTGTTCTGTTGTTTGGATGTCAATGAACAGCACAAACAAGAGCTTCACTTTCCATAAACATCTCATCCTATTTTCCATTAATCATTTCTATGAACTGTTGTTTCACTTGTACATGACTGTGACGTCAACTATCAAGACATAGAAGAAATATTCTTTTTGTTTTCTACGTTTTTACTTGTGAAAAGTGACATTTAATACACTGTAAGCTTACTTGTACTTTGACACATTACTGCTTCCACAGTAGCTCTTGATGGTGTCTTTATTCCGCCTCTTATGTCTTGGTATGGCTTTGTTTTGGTTTTTACAGCAAAAGGTGTATGAAGTCAAGCTGGAGGATGGCAACGTGTACGTGAAACACGCCAGTCGTCTCTCCTTACAGCTGTTTCCTGCGGATCAGAAGAGTTGAACAGCCTCATCCTTCAGCCCTTCATGAGATCGCTGTAGCGAGCCCACCCGGGCTATTTTTAAGACATGTTCCACAAACCCAAGCCATCCGAAACATTCCTAAGCCTTATCTGTCATTTTCACAGACCATTTCTACTTTGATTGTGGTGAACTCAGGATGATAGAGAGGATTGTCTCAAGAGGACATGACATCATTAAATTGTTTCAGAGTTTTTCTTGCTGGCATTCCAGGTAGAGACTCATCCCAGATACTGAACATGGAAAGCTCACTGCTGACCTTGATAACACACCAGACAGTAGCAAATATGCAACATAAAAAGACAAATGTTACCATGTTATAGAACTAACCAGCATATTTTATTATTGGCAGTATGAAACTGATTTGCCTATTGATAATTTTCTAGATTTTGAAGGATTCCTGAAGAAGATAAAATTATTTGTAAGTAAGAAATGTTTTTTCTTCACATTTGAGAAGTCAAATTTGCACTAACTATTACAACCTTGAAACCCACTATCTGCCAATGTGGATCTAAAAATGTTTTAAAACTTTTCATCCCATTTCGTAAACTCTCTACCTGCCCATCTTGTTACTTGTTTCAGCATATAGAAGATGCTTCCAAATGTTATCTCTAATTTAAATGCAACACGGTAATTTGCAAATATCGAACCATAATTGCAATGAGGGGATGAATTCACGTGCAGGCAGAAATGAAGCCTTTGTGTTTTTGAGTCATGTTAAGTTAAAAGGGATCATTACAATATATGCAAACTGCAGTGCACATCTAGTGCTTTGAAAATGCAGTTCAAACGGACAAAATGCACAAAATGAATAGCATAGATGAGGGAAAAATGAAATGATTATCATCTGGATTTGCTGGCAAAACATGTAGATTCTAACAAGTTGTGGTATGTTTGTAATTATGAGGTCCAATCTGACAGCCAGTGTATTGGAATAAGCAACATATGTCACCTTTTAGTAGTACCTTTTAGAGCATAAATTATTTTTTTATAATTCCTCTCATTTTCAGTTAAAGAATTTGTAGTCATGTAATAGTGGAAGTGTAATGAGTTCCTTTCAGTGGCTAGTATTGAACTAAATTTAATCTTATGTTCATTACTACCAATAATCCTCTTCCATGTCTTAAACAAGTGTTACCTGAGGCCTCAAATTGTTAAAGTCACAGACAAGCAGTCATACTAGTTGAGTTGTGGCCAATGGATAAATTTAGACACATATTCCAGTGATGTCATGCAACAGAAACTCCCTTTCAGAATATGTATTTCTGGACAGTTTTTAACTCAATGAGAGTTCCAGCAAGTAGAACACACATGAAGGGCACTGCAATTACGTTTGGTGGTAGTCAGGGCATTAAGACGTCTCCATCAGCATTTCTCTCTATTCCTGGCCTGTGCTTGGACAGGTTTGTCTGTTAATGACGCAGTGGGACTCAAAAGAAACAGTTAGTGTGGCGCCGGAGGAAGGTTCATGACCTGAAATGCACCATTGACTCAAGAAAAATTTGTTTTTCTAGCTTTATGTGTGTGTATGCACTGATGCAAGTGTGTGTTTTTTTTAATTCCTTAGTGGCGAGAGCAGTCACTATATTTTGTGTCAGCTCTGTTTTCTGGCAGAGGCACAGAGACCAGTCATGAAGGTGTGAGTGACAGTGTGGCTCAACACTCATTTTCCTCCATGCTGTGCCCCCTGTGGTGCAACTTTATTACAATAATAATTCCACTGCCTAAAAACGTCTGTAACTCATCACCTGGAGGGAAATGGGCATACATGCAGCTATATTGTGTTGGTAGGAAAGTCAAAGTAAACATTGTTCAGGATTCTGCACAGGTCAGGAGCAGTATCTTGTTTTCCTTACATTTATATGTTCAGCTAATTTATTGCATTTTGTTTTGTTTGTTTTTTTTGTGAATTATGTAAATGGCCTATATGGTATGTTATAAATGTATTTTATTGTTGTAACTTATGCAAAGTTGAAAATTTTATTTGTATTGTTTAATTCATAAATTAAATTAATGGACACTGTGAGATATTATAAATAAAAGAGAATAGACCAAAACACATTTCTATTTTTGAATGTGTGAAATAGGAAATTGTTCCACATGTATGATGTTTTAAGCATAGCCTTAATATGTAATACACAACTCAGAAAGGGTATGAATCAGAAAGTTTACACAAAATCATTTATTTACATTTTTTTGTTCATACAATTATAGTAAATTTCATACAATACACAATTTACACATAAAAACTTAATTCAGAGAGAAACAAGAGATTGGCATCACCATGCACTAGTTAAGCGTCTACAGAGAATTATCAGGAGTTAATTTATGTAATTCTTTTACTGGAGCTCAGGTTGGCTTCTTGGAGCACAGTGCCACATATACAACTCTCTTTGTATACCAGAAAGGGATGTTAATGTTCAAGGATGACCTCTCAAATAAATTGGGATCTCCTTGAGACCAGTTGGACTGTACAGAAGAGAAAATTGATTAATCTGTTCATGCTTAAGTTACTGTGAGAGTCTTGTTATTCTCTGCCCCAAAGTTAAATGGTGCCAGTGAGCAATACATGTACCTACTGAAATTCTGTGACAACGAGGCAACATCAGGTTCACCAGATTCCTTTTTCCAATTTGAGTTGTTAGAAAAACAGCCCCTGTCTATAGCAAGTAAGTCTAGGGGGATGACAATACCCTCAAAAATACCAACTGTCAAGCACTCAAGACAGTAGGGCTACAACTGAAAGAGTAGGGGTGCATGGTAGCTCACCTGGTAGAGCCTGGGTTTAATTCCCACCTGTGGCCCTTTTCTGCATGCCTTCTTTCTCCCCCCATTCCTGTCTTATCTTCAATTGTCATATCAAATAAAGGAACGAAAGCCCCAAAAATATCTTTAAAAAACAGTAACAATAGCATACTGTCTTTGTTTTAGGTAGATAATAATTAGGTAATACATTTATTTGTTTTCTTGCAGAGAGTTAGGTGAGACAATCAGTACCACCCTCATGTCATGGTTAGCCTAAAGACAGCTAAAAAGAGCCAGCCTGGCTTTTTCCAAAGGTAACAAAATTTGTCTACAAGCACCGTGAAAGCTTACTAATGAACATGTTATATCTTTTTTATCTGTGCAAAAGTGTGAAAACAACCTGTCCTGATGTCACCGTAAAGTTGCCTTGCTTCTATGTTGCAGTTTCCAGTTCCCCAGTCCTTATGTTAAGCTAAGTTAACAAGCTACTGGCTGTAGCTTCATATTTAATGGACATAGATAGGAGTGCAATTTGATTTTATCATCTAACTCAGCAAGAAGGCAAATAAGTATATTTACCAAAATGTCAAACTATTCCTTTGAAAGTGTAAAACAAAAATACACAAAGCTCCATTAAGCCATATCTGTGAGATCACTGAATCCCTGTAAAATGAAATAGTTGCTACTACTGCTGCCATTCCCACTGAGATTCAATATGATAAAACTTTTTTCCTATAAAAAATAATCTTTCCAATGTGTTTTATTTGATTCTAAAGGTTTTGGAATTTTTTCACAAATCATTAAACCAAACATTGCAGAGGTTTTTTTAATCTCCTTTGAAGTTTCCCAGAAGACGAAGTAACTGTTTGGAGAACCCAGCTTACTTTCCCATGCAAAGCCTTATATAATGGTTTACTCAGTCTATTATTGTTACCTTGTCCTTCAAACTCCCCTGATAACTTCTCCTCATGAATAAGCCAATTCTCCTGTCAAAGCATTCTCCTCCAGAAACCTGCATTCTTCCATGTGCAACCACTTTCGAAGCCTGATATTCTGTAAGTGATGGGCTGTGAGGCCAAAGACTACTAATATTTTCCCTTTCTTTTTTCCATTTACCAAACAGTACCCCAAAATGATTAAATCCATCACTAGATAATCTTGCTCCTTTTTCTCTTGATGTCTTTGGTCTAACATTTCCTCCAGTTGCTCTACAGCTGTTGGGCCTCCTCAGCTGACCTCACACACCATTGCATTTTTATAGGACTTATCTCTTCCCACACCTGGACTCAATCATCATCTTTCTTACAGAGTGGATGCTACATCTGCTGCAGGGAGATGTTTGTTTTCATCTGGAGATCTGAACTGTTCAGTCATGGATGGCCCAGAGGCCTGTGGTTAGAGAGGTCAGTGATAATGTAGAAGGTACCATGTGTTGTCACCCTATATTACTCTGTTTTTAGTGTTTGTCTAGAGTGCGCTGCTCATGGGGCTTAATGGAAAGAGACTGTTCATCGAAGTGGGGCTAAATACAAGTGTAGGATTACAATATATGGCTGTATTTATACATACTACTTCACATTGTCACCTTTTAGCACACATTAAACAATGCATATGTTGCACATTAGGAATAAAAAACACCTTCAAAAGTTAACTGTACAATCGGCTGGGTGCCATTTTGATGGTAAATATGTTAGACCATTAATCTTCTTGGGTCCACTGTACTGTTGATTACTTAACTTAATCCTTTGTGTCCTAGAAATTAACTTGTTTGGCTGTTTGTGAAAGTCAGGGTCAAACTGTTATAATAGTTCAAGAGAATATGTAATTTATTTTCTAATTAGCAGAAGGATTATATTTACTTGTCAGGCTCTCCTGGTTTCTCCATGCACGCCCCCTTATTTGGTTTTGGATTAGTTCAACTTGAAGTACTTCTCCCATGGGTCTGCAAGTGCCCATTTTGCAGATTAACAATTGTGAAGCTTTAATCACTGAGTCAAGCTTCTACCGACCTAAATTACAATAGCCTAGTATTTTTTAAGTCTTTAATCAGTCTCAGTGTCTATCAAGATGTATACTTTTATTGTACTTCCATTGTCACACACACCTATTCCACAATGGTAGGATTTCTTAAAACAACAGCAAATTCAAGTGTGTCACTTTTTAATTATCTCTCACGTGTGTAAGAGTCACGCGGTGGGTTTTGTTAATGAAGAGAAGGCTCCACTGAGAGTTATAACTCCCACTAACAAGATTGCGCTATTGTGGTGTACAAACTGTAAAATCAACTGAGCCATGCAGCAAAGTATGAAAAAAGTTAATAGATTCTACATAGTTCAGAGAGTGAGTTGAAGAATTATTACATGACATAGCAGTTAAATTATTTGCTTAAAATCATTCAAACTGAGTCCTGTGCAAGATCTCATACAAACAGCTTAACCACAACACCTGCCGCAAGTACTGAAAGAGTTGCTGCTTCATTCACCAGCAGCATTTTTTATGTACTGTAATAGTTTGTAACATGCTGATCTTTAAACATTCTTAAGTTAAATTATATAGTTATTGCACTTCAAGATACAAAGGCAGCTGACAAACACATTACCCAACAATAAAAACAAAGCCAATTTAGACCCTGAATTAGTCTCTATAACAGTTTCAGAGAAAGTGAAATATTTAGGCAGATATAGTTTGAGTAACATTTTGTTTGTTGATGCTAATTTGGAATGTGCAGAGGACAAAAGGAAAGTATGTCATACCTCAACTATACCATCAACTATCCTCATTTTAGACTGCCTGCCACAAGTGAGATCCATGCTTGTCTAGGCGAAGGCCTCAGTCTTGCACATTCTAAGTAGGTGTGAAGGACGTTTGGCTGAATCACAGTTGGCAATGTGGTATGGTAATGAAAAGAAAGAAGCATGACTGAAAACATCCTCTGTTCGCCAGGTGGCATACTTCACCCCACTGCACCCAACATGTCTCTTTTGAGTGTGTGCCCCCTTGGTGGAGAGAGTTTCCCAGTTTGTAAAGGGCTCTGTGTCTGCTGCAGACAACAAGGACCTCAAGTTGGTTTCTTTCTGATCTTTAAGAAAAGTTCAGTGGAAAGCAATGGCCAATTATGAAGTGTTTGGGGCCTGGCATAGTATTTACGGTTTTTGGAGGTTTGGTTTCAAACGTTGTGAAACGTCAGCAAAAACACCCACAATGGGAAAGTGGAATGGCTCAAATTAGAACTATAAAAGTTAATCAGTCAATTTAGTCTATTCATACATACGACCAAAGCTAATTAAATAAATGCCAGTCAATGCATTACATATAGACAAAAGATGCATGTCTTTTAGGAGGGAAGGAAGAAATGTATATAACAACATTTTCAAGTAAGTATAAGTCTAATGAATATGTTCAATCATACTCATTGGTTTTGTCAAATTGCTGTCGGCCTCAGATTTGTGGTTTCCATAGTCAAGAGGGAGTTCATATTCATCAACAATACTCCCTCAACTTGATGTCATCATATCAGTCTTGACGGAAGACCTAGAAATTAAACGCAAAGAACATTTAAATAATTCTGATATTGCTGGCAATATGAAGACATCTCAAATGATCTAATCTAAACCTACCTTTTGGCACATCTATTGGCGTTGCTGTGTGCGCATGGACACTCTCCTTCTGGTTGTAGAGCTTACTCTGCGACTCTGGGTCCTGCCCCGCTGGTCTGAAGGATAGGCCACCATCTGGGTGGGTAATCTCTGCACCTGCAGACCTTCTGACTCCCTCATGTCCCTCGCCATCTGAGACAGAGTCTGACCTGGGTTGGTCTGCAGACGTTGGAAAAGGCTTTCTCTGTTAATTTTCCTCTCTGGACAGCTGAAGGTCAGCGCCACTCCAGAATCTGATTTCATTTCCCTGGAGAAACCATCAGAGGTGCCATCAAAGCAGCGGCCTATAGCAATCTCCTTGGCTACCCTGGGATTCTGGTCTGTGACTGTGTAGATGCCATAGTTATGTCCCAAAGGATCAACAGGGGCTAGCATGGTGAATGCATGAGACTCATTATTTTGAGCGACCGGTGGATGTTTGATGAGATACTCTTGTAAGAGGTTGTTGGTGCCAACCCTACGACAGTTCCCCTGAGGAAGGACTGATATGAGGGATCTGTCCACCTCAGCTTGATCAAACAACATGCCACTGCATTTGAACTCTACACAGGCTGCAGAGGTGTTGGCCTCTCGCATGTCCCGAGTGCTGCGAATGTCTCTTATACCATAAAGCTTGCCTTTTGTTTCCCGATGTGTTCCTCCCAGATTCCTCGACCTGACCATCACTTCTTTTTGTCCATGGATCTTGACCTTAATGAAGCATGCTCTAAACTCCTGGGGATTAGGCCACCAGGAGAGGTAGTCTCCCGTCCAGGTCGTCAAATCATTCTCCTCAAAGGGAACAACATTGTATTCATACTTGTCCTTTTCGACTCTGAAGAATCTGAAATGGTTTGCATCAACAGGGGCATTTTCACAAGCTATTAAATTCTGATATGGATATATTGGCCCGTTGGTCTCATCAAGATTATTTTGGTTAGGCTTTGCCAGGTTGATTCTGAAGGCTGTTTTCTTCAGAGCGGGATCCTCGTGGTCTGAACGCTGGTAGTCCATTTTATCCAGGTATGGTTGAGACACTCCAATGATGTTTGGATTCATCTTAGGAGAGGAGGGAGCTGCCTCCAGTTCTTCCCCACCCATCATTGCTGTGACATAAGCTGTGTAAGCATCAGGCCTTTGGGCATCACAGAACGCTGGTAAACAGGCCCCATTGGGTCCAGTTATGACGCTGTCAAAGCGCCCCCATGCCCTTGGATTAGAGGAATAACCAGGTTTGGGTTCCAAGTTTATCAAGCTGATCACAACACCCTCCAGCTGTTCACTAGGTAGGAACTTGTCACTCATGTAGGCACGGACTTTGACGTAGCAGCGTCTGTTTTCAGGAACATCTAAATTGAAGAGCCTACGTTCTCTAATCTCCATGTTGCCTATGAGGAAAGTACGCTCCTCACGTTTGCTCCGCCCATGACCACCAGTAGTTGTAGTGTAGGAGAAGTCACTCTCCTCTTCCCAGACTCCTGTGTCTGGGTTTAAAGACCACAGCTTCATTTTTGGAATGTGCTCTTGCATTTTGACGTGCTGTGTGTCAAGAAGGACTTGAACAGCCCCAGCTCCAAGTACCTCCTTGTTGGTCTCATCTCTGAAGTCCACTGAAAACATACCATAGGTTCTTAAAGGGAGCATGTCACCCTCATTGTCCACAAAGTTGAGGTCCCCAGGGGCTGCAGCCGCCATGGTGATATTTCTTGGGTCAATGAATGTGACGCTGGCTTTCACAGTTCCCTCATAGATTTCTCCGTTGTCCTTGTGGAAGGAATGGGGAGGAATAACCAACTGACCAATGGGATCTTCCCCTTTAATTTCCCCCAGGTTGATAGAGTTGGTCTCTCCTGCATTGATATCAATTGGTGTCTGCTTTCTCATCACCTTCACATCATGGTAGATGGATCCACCTTTCTTATCAAAGATGAACACCTTAGGAGTGTCAAGAAACTTCTGGGTCGGGTCAACAAAATTTACCACTAACCTATGTGTATCAGGAGTAATTTGTAATGTGAAACTTCCTTGGTATCCAGTGGTGCCCACCCTCTCTTTGCCAATGTAGATGTGCCCAAAACGCAGGGGCTCATCATTGTCAGCTGTGACCACTCTACCACGAACAAGCACAGTTGGCTGCACACACTTCTGACAGCTACACTGTGTCACAGCCCGGATAGGGAGGCTGTAGCTCCCACAGTCAATTATTCTACTTTCCATATTTTGGACCCCACAGCAGAAGGCAGCTCCATCTCTGCAGCGCATATCAAAGTCTAGGGAGCCAGCACATTTGTTGTGAGGGCAGCGGCCAGCGTTGTAGTACTTGGAATCAGTCCCGGGCTGAACACAGTCAATGGGCAGCCTGACGAGGTGATTCTCAGGGGTGGAATTGCATGCTGGTGTTCCTTTTGCTGTGAATTAGACGATAAATTAAATTGAGCGAGAGTTGACATGACATACAAAAAAATTAATTAGTTATCTGATATACATATAACATGAAAGTGCAAAAAAGAATTGCATTACCAACGACTGCTTTGGTTTTAAAATTAATGCAGACTTTTCATATTGAAGACATGGCTGTTGAAGTTCTACTTTCTCTAAGATGCCCTACCTACCCTACTCTACCTGTCAAATCTATTTGATTTTAATTATAAAATCATCAGCTATAGGGCAATTGTATATTGATGCATAATTGGAATAGGACAAGTTTATAGTGAATAAATTGAAGGTGGCAAGGGAAGTGTTTAAGATTTTCTGCCTGTCTTTTTCACACATGGTTGCACAAACACACACACACACACACACACACACACACAATATATTTATGCACTGACACAATGTCTGCATGGCCTGAAAGTACTTGTGAGTGGCCAAGTTGGACGGTAAAATGTGCATGAAAGGGTAATTAGACATGAAGTTGAATAGAACATTTATTTACCAACCATCCAGATGGGAGTTGGAAAGAAAGAATTATTGTTCACCCAGACATTGGCAGAATAATTAATGTGCATGATTTCATGGTCGAGCTTATAGTCAAGTGTCCTTGTTAAGTTCTCCATCTAAGTCGATAATTGCAGACACATGGAGCAGTTCGATACGTATGAAATATCATTACTGTACTACTGATGGCTTTACCAACAGGGCTTTGAGTTTCCTTTGATAAAAAAATATGATGCAGAGTCTACACCTGTGTAGAATGCGGTAACACATTTAATGGGAATTCAAATTAAACTTCTGCATTATGTAAAATGCGAGAAGAAACTGTTGAAGGACCAAGGCATTTTTTTACATCCTGCTCTGAAGCGCAAGTGTTGTCCTGCACGCATACAGTGTCTCCTGCCATAATTACTTTTGGAGTGCAGAGATTTGTCTGTGGCCTGGGATAGATTGCTTTAGCACTCTTCCATGAAAACTCAGTTTGCTAATCTGTGTCTTTGCTAACAAGAACCTGAAGGATGAAAGCAATGTGTAGTTCTCCCAAGCTGATGTGGAAACGCATACTCATCTGACTCTGAGAGAGAAAATAATTCTGGGTTTTAGCTCAAAACTGGCTGTTCTGGAGAAATTGGGTTTGAGGTTTTAGTATCCCAAGCCATCTTGCACAATAAAGAATGCCAGTTTAAAAATCCCTAGCGTCAACCAATGTAAACATAATAAAAACGTACTGCTTCAAGCGCAGCCAGATTGTGTGAGCCCTGATATTTTTATTTTCCTTGTATGTAATGTTTTTTCCAGTGACAAATAGTCTGTTAACTGACTTTTCTCTCTCCCTCAGTTGTAGGACACTGTGGTTTTGTTTGAATCCTCTTAATGCATGGACATGGCTCAGGGATGACTTGGTTGGAGTTTAGCGCTGACATTACTCTTAAAGTGTGTATTCAATCTCAGAGGCAGCTGCTCTTTATACAGTGAAATGAATTGCGGTTGTTTGCTTTTTGTCAGTGGTTTTAGTTGAACCTGTGCAGAACTTTGACTAAATACGTCATTGTCAAATGCACTGGGATAGCAGCCATCCTGAGCTATAATCCCTTTGTGCCGCTTGCTATCATCATAGTAAATTATTTTCTCTCCGGGCTGATGATGATGAATTACAGTTCACTGTGCCATTAAATAGCAAGGATTTTTTTGTGTCTTTTTGAAATGTGAGAAACCAAATAGAACAGGATTTTTTTTCTTTATTTCTCCACCACTTTTTAGCATTTAACAGTTCACTAGTTATAAAAGTCATACAAGCTGCCATTGCACCAGCAGATTAATGTTGTAAATACTGTCCTACAGATAGCATCTTTAACTGTGTAACTGGGATTATGCAAATGAGAAAACATCTTAAGAACTACACTGATGTTGAGATAGCTGTAAGAGATCCGAGACTAACATACCAATCACGGTGAGGAAGGATGCAGAGGACTTGATGGTGCCTGCAGGGCTGCTGGTTTTGCAGTAGTACTGCCCTGACTGCTCCAGCTTCAGGTCTCGCAGTACAAGGTCCTCTTCATACTTGTACACCTTTCTGTCCAGCAGAGTCCCGTTGTGGTACCTTAAAATATAGTTACAGAGATAAGAAAAGAAAGGGAACTTTAATAAAATAATTTCAAAAAGTTGTCGGTAGAGATAGATAACAATTATATTATTACAAAGTAACTAAAATTAAATTTGTAGGGACCTCCAAAATATAAAGTAGTCAGTTTGTGTTATAATGTGATTATTAAAGTGCCAGCACTAGTATTCCTCTCACCAGTAGTATTTGTCAGGTGCTGGTGATCCCGTTGCTTTGCAGCACAACAGCACCCGTCCTCCCTCATAACGCACTTTGTCCTCTGGGTGCTTCACAATGTATGGCTTTTCTGTGGAAAGCAGAGAGGTGCAAACCCTCAAGACTTTACGCTGATATTATGAATGGTACCGCAGAGTTTTGAGACCTCATAAAACTCAATCAAACATTTCACTTTATTCTCACATTGCTTATGAAAAACGATTGTTGTGGGAATTACTTCAAAATTACTTTTCAAAATCTGCAGAGGCCTATTTTTATTTAGTCTCTATGCAACCAAGTAAGTAAGGGTTCCAGACAATGTGAAGTCCTACAACAGGCCTGACTATGATAATTAATTTATGATGATTAATTAAAGATATTTACAGTAGCTTCTTTTTATATTCATTGATGATATTATTTGAAGATATTTAGATATAATATATTTACAATATCTTCAATTAATACCAATATATATCAACAATATTTTTTATTATCAGCACTCACCAGCTGATTTGAGGACAGCCCGTACCCAGGACAACCCTGTGGTGTTACTGGAGGTAGAGACAGTGATCGGGGCAAACTTCTCTTTCCTGATGGAGATCAAAATCGAGCTGGAGGAGCAGACTCCTGTGAGCCTGAACTGACCATTGGCATCTGTACGTGCACGGATCACCTTGGGCTGACTAGCCAGTGCCACCCAGGCTCCTGCCACAGGGACACCAGTCACACTGTGGACTTCCCCGTGCAGCACATGGCTATCACACACACACCGGCTGCAGTCCTCACTGGGACGACCCTCGGTGCACACCCGCTGACATTTGGCTGTCGGGAGAAAGACCCAGAGACGTGAGCACAGACTGATAAAGACACAAGATATTATGACTTTTACTGTGTAGATTCAGCATACCTGGGCATGGACTCTTCCCACACTTCTGTATTTCAACAGGCCGTCCAGTACACTGAACTGTCTCAGAGGACCTCACGCAGGTCCTCCTCCTAATCCTCCGACCTCCCCCGCAGGTCACTGAACACGTCCCCCACCGACCCCATGGTCTCCACTTGGCTGATCGCACAGAGAGACAGGAATGATGTGATTTTGCAGTTGAAAAGTAATCCACATTAGTATTTTATGTTAAATCTGTGATCAATCTCTTCATTAATTAATTAAATGATTCAAACTTTATACATAGAGGTCTAATGAGAGTTGTTAACTCTCTTGTGCCCCCTGTGTATGCAATTATACAGTACTGTGGGCATAAAAATGATAACAAAGCTGATTAAATAGCTGCAATTGAAAGACTGCTGATTGTAAGTAGCTCAATCAAAAACACATCTAATACTAATGGTTACGAAGTTCTGTATAGCAGAAGTTGTGTGCTGAAGGGTGCTGCCTCAAACCACATAGCAGAAACAGGCTTTTTATTTTACCTCCATATTAACTCAATCCACAATGGAAATCAAAAGTTAGGATCAAGTACAGTACAGAACGGGGACGTTGGTTGCATTTGGTTCAATTCAATGATTTGTAGTTACTCGCTGATTCTGATGTCCTCTGTTCGGTAGCACTTCTAGCCTAGTGCTGGTCCAAGCTGTTATGTTGGCTGTACAAGCACTGTTGTAACGTTAGTAGCTCAGCAGCCCACTATTACCCACTAGTTGTTGAGTTATCACTTTTGTTTCACTGTCATAGGACGTAACCTATGTGAATCACAGCTGAGCAACAATGCTTCCAGTAACTTGTGAGGAGTAACACTGCTGAAAGCAACTGATTTGGGCAGTGACAATGCTGATTCAGTAGAGTCAGTTCGCTTTGAAGATTTGGTGTTTGATTTGTTCATACATGTACTTAAAAGTGACTGATTGATTAATCGACATCCGCTGATGCCCACACTCACAAGGCCAATAAACAAAAATGTCTCCAGGTAGCTTTGTCAGTGTGATTGCTGTGAAACAATGTTGGTGCTCCCCCATGTGAGTTTTGGGAAGGTAGTGAAAAAGTACATTTTCAGTCTTGTACTATCACTCCCATGCATTCTGCTGTAAAGGTTTGCCTAAATTTAATTTCCTGATTCTCACCTGTACACGGAGGAGTGGAGCACTCCCTCCTTTCTGAATGGTGACCCTGGCAAGCGGGCACCAACAGGAGAGGCATGGGCTGAGTGTTCACACATTCCCTCTGACGGACCTGGATGCCGACATCATTACAAACTGTGGTTGAACAGGAACCCCACTCACTCCAGTCAGTCCAGTAGCTCTGCACTAAAGACACACATTGAAGAACAGAGTGTGACAAATTCTGAGCAAAGCTGGCATTGTGTCCTGCAGTTGACAAGCAGGAAGATAATATAACAAAGAGATTATTTAACATGGCAGACAGTAAACAGCTAAGAGCATTTACAATGGGTGATTCCTCCCTGTAGCCAGTGCCACATGCATGCATGGCTGAATGCTATGTGACAGAAAGTGACAGCTTGTACAGCCCTGAGCTGTTGTCATCAGAGCTACCTGGGGGACACTGAAAGCGAACATGGTAGTTGGAGCAGATGCGGCCTTGGGGCTGTTCCTTGTTGATGCACCAGAAGCCCTTCTCCAGACTGGAGTGGACCACTTCCCCAGTGTCTGCTGCTGCCACCCAGTCTGTAGTGCGAGCCTCCATTGCCATGGGCCGCACACAAACTCTCTCCCTGTAATAGAAACGGATCGCTTCCAGGCGCTCATAATCTCCATTCCCTCCAGGATGGTCGATGTTGAACCAAGACGTCCACTCTGTCACGCCTGGAGGCACAGGAGGGGAGACGTGGATGAATAGAATAAAGGGTAACAATGGAAAAAAAGTCAAAAATAAAGAAAACAATTCAGCTCAGGATTGAGAAATAAGTGAGGCGGGTGGAGGGGTGGGCTGGTCTTACATGGAGGGGAGACATGGGTCAGAACCAAGAAAAAGTAAGAAGGAGGAAATCAGCAGGGAAGAGTTACAAACTTTAAGAGGGGGTCTGCTACCGCAATTTGAAACTGACTTCATACACCCTGGGGAGCTTTGCATTCTTTCCAAGCTCCCAGGTTTGACTGATGAGGCATATTGTCTATTTTTATTTTTTTTTTTGTCTCCTGCATGTTCTGAAACCTGAGCATTTTCTCAGGAGAAATATACCGGATTAAAAACAAAAGAATGAAGTAGCAACAAACTGATTATATCTTTCATTCACAAAGGAATGCATTGCTGTAATAAATACAGTTCTTAGGTGAACTGCAGGCTGCGCTTAGGTGATGGGAGGGATATGTGCTCCAGACAACAATCGGAATACAGACTAATACTAGTGCTGTTTTGTTCAATTAAAATAGATGTTAAGTCATCAAATATTAACTTTTCAAACCCAAGTTGACACCTTCACACTCTAATATCCTTTGTGGCTGTTGCATTACAGCCAGACAGAAGAAATCTTCAGAGCTAGATAAAATGTTACTGCTATCTAGCCTGGTGATACAGTCAAATAAAATCAAAATCTCAAGAAAAAAGAGCACCTCAGCCTTGTGTCTCTGGTACAAGGTCTTAGGTCTTTTATTTATATGATCATACACTACAGAAGTGGACCACTGTGTACATGAGAGATCCGGTAGAGTAATCTATGGGTCAAGGGTTTTCAATGTCTGACTCTGAAAATCCTGGCAGAGGTGGTGGTGGTAGAGTTATAAGGAGTATGGTTTTTCTATGATTCTAAGCAGATGTATGCACTTTTATTCACGATGGACATCGCCAGGAAAGTGTAAGTCACGCTGAATCTAGGAATATGTCATTCTTGTCTGCGTGTTTACATTTGACTGAGTTATGACTCTGACAAAGAGTGTGATTTTTGATTGCAAATTGTGGCAATTGGACTCTAAGTGAGCTGCCTTCTTGAGCTGTGAGTCGCAGCTGCTTCTGTAGCTCTAACTGCTGATAAGTGGGACAATAACTAACTTCCTGTTGTTTTAAGAAGACTAGTATACACCATTCCCCTTCAACACAGTTTGAAAACCCCCACTATACAATCAGCTCTGAATATCACCGTTGATTGATTGAGTACCTGTTGTCTGTGTGTCAGTGAACGTGTTGAGGGCCCCTCTCCTGCTCCTGTCTGACTGACTCCTGGTCCTCACAGATCCTGCAAACAGGGAGAAACACATTTGGATATAAAACAAGCTTATACCCTTAAATGCTTTCATTTCTCTCCATATTCCCTCGGAAGCCTAAGTTTAGAGTTAACAGATATAATGTAATACATGAGGCTGGCATTATAATTGGAAAGAGAGATTGGAATTTCTATGCACACACACAAATTGATACAGTCGGAGCATATTTTGGTCTTTCTTCAAGGCACGAAGGCTGTTCTAATTACACACCTTCCCCCTGCCCCTTTCATTTGCTCTATGTTTTCACTGCTTCTATTTTAGCCACATGCCTTTCCATGCTCTTTGTCATGTTTTTTCATCCTTAAGCTTATTGTCCCCCTCTTTACTTGTCCTCAACAAAGTCCTATCCTTCTCCTCTTGATCCATCAACAAGCAGCCCCTGTTGAGGATGCTAATCAAGCTCCAGCTGAGACAAATCAGTGCGGAGTAATCTCTTAACCAGCGGCCGAGCCAGAAAACTTTTACTTTTACTTTCTCCATCACGTCTCACAGAGCTCACACTCACATACTGTTAGGCAGAATTTTGTTGCTGATTTTTTTCTTGATCCTAATGATATATAATTATAATGTCCACACATACATAAGCCTATTTATCCCTGAGCCATTCTTACATCAATATCATTTTTAATGCACGTGCACACACAACTGTGAGGCAAATGTTGCCTTACTAGAAGGAGAAAGACATTCAGGCATTAATTGTAAATTTGACTCCTTGATGTATTAAACATGCACCATGTTTTCCCTCGTGCTTTGAAGTATAAGGAATTTTTTTCCTACAGAACTCGTTTTTTATGTTTGCAAAAACGTCAGTTGTTTTCTTGACATTTCATCTCCAACTTTAACTTGGGCTGTGGGGAAAAAATGAATGTCATGGTCCGTGACAGAAACAAAAAGTAGCTTATGCAACCTCACTGTGTGTGTGTGTGTGTGTGTGTGTGTGTGCGTGTGTGTGTGTGTGTGTGTGTGTGTAATATGTGCAAGCACTTAGCACTTTCGGAGAGACACTGCTGAGTTTACGAGCAGAGACTCCCAGCACAGAGGCCAGTATCGATCCCAGTCGTCACTGGTTTTATGGCTCATATCAAGTCTTTACTGTCATGCCAGCACATTTCTTTTCGACCCTTAATGTTTTTTGATAGATTTAGCAAAGAAGGACTGTAGCTTAACAGGACAAAGATTGACTGTCCTGAAATGTATTACATAAGTTTTAGGGTAACATAGGCAGACGGCTGACCTTCGTTGTTGTTGTTTTTTATGCCCCTGGCTTTAAAAACCACTGATAGGCTTCCATATCAGCTTTGTCTCTCTGATACTCTGGAATCACTGGATAAACAGGAGCAAATGCTTTCACACTGATCTGCGGGGCAGATGTGGGTCTGCTTGCAGGTTTAGTTTAGTAAATCAAATCAAATAGTTTTTCCACCCTTCTCCTTTTGTCTGCTGCATTCTGTGTCATTCCTAATTACATTATAAAAACAATTAAAATACAGTTTTTCTGCCACTGGACAGAGCATGTCAGTAAATCGCAGACTTGTGTGTTTTTAATCTTATGTTCACTCTGAGAACTTTTAAACACTTTTAAAAGGGAAACACATATGGTATGGGGACACAAACAACCCTTTTATTTCCCTTAATTAACACTGACTTCAATTGCATCCATTTATTTCCAAGAAATTACAATGCACTTTTCAAGCTCTGGTTACATAACAGTTCCTCGCTCGCACCAAAACAAAGGGAATTCACAGCAGAACCATTTGGCTCCTGATTATCATTTCAAGATGTGTGATAATGAAAGAGAAACAGCAAACGATTCTTAAGAGTTTTATGAGGTGCCTAATGGTTTTAGAAAGTTAAAAGAGGAAACCCAGATTAGCTTCAGTAGAAGGCAAATGTTAGGGTAGTGACCTCAGTTATGGTAGGTATGAACTGGCCTGGTTCCCATGGAAGACTCAGAAAGCTTATTGTGCTTTTGAGTGGCATGTTAACACTTTATGAATTTTAAAAGCCGGGAGATTTTATTGCTTCATACAGCTGGTATGTGAGGGACTTTGCCTCATCAAGAAGCAAGTTACACATTTTTTAAGCCAGAGGGATCAAGTTTAGAACTTATGATTTCCTCTTCAGTGCTAAAAAAAAAAGCCTAAAGTGCTCCGCTGGTACAGTATATGCTGTTTGTCCTTGTTCATGTGCTCTGTGTGGATTTAGGTTTGTGCTTTGCTGACACATATCTCGTCAGTAATAGAGTCATCCAAATGAAATTAAACAAAATACATTCTTTGTCCACATGCCTGGAGGCGTGTTCGACATCGTTTGTCTGTTGTATGATGTGACCACCCTATGGTTAAAGTTTGGTTAGGGTTAGGCACAAAAATGACTTGGTTAACTTTAATGAAAGATCATTCATCATTGTTTGGCTCAATTGAGTACTTAACCACAACGTTGTCACATCATAAAACATATTTACTGTACTGTTAATCTGTTATACTATAATAAGTCATGGTAGGTTCACACTTGATATTAATGTTGCCTGACTTCCTCTTTTGCTCTTGTCATAACGGTCGCTAGAGGGCTTTGTCACTTGAAAACAGATTTTGGGGCACTTGCTGAAATTACCTCCTTTGGTTTGGTTTGTTTTGTGCATTGCTTACATACATTTCTTTATGATTTTGTCTATTTGCAGCTAATATAGTGGAATTCACATATGGATGTATCACTTTTCTCTTGCAGTTTCACCTGACATTTGACATGAACCCCGCCATGTGACTGTTATTATAAACCTCAGCCAGCCTCACCGTGACCCTCATAAACCATGGACAAGGTAACAAGATACATTTTAATGGCACCAATATATATTAGAGGAGACCTGCATCTGTGGACTGGTTAGCAGCTTGCTTCCACATATAGCCACACTCCAAGCACCTGAATGCCACACTATGTCAGTAACATATCTGAAACATAGCTACTGGCTTACTTTTTATCCCACAATGCAGTCTTTGTCATCTTTATCCCCTCTGAATCTGTTGTGACAACTGCAATTCTTATTTTAGAGGACTATGTTTGGATATAACGATTTACGTCACAGTGGTTTGTTCTGAAATACAGCTGCTGTAGTTATAGCTCTTCTACTTACTGCCAGGCTATACAAAGGGGCATATCCTCTATTAATAATCACCAGTGGCTTTGCATAGGACAGCCCTCTCCGCTTCACTTTCTGAGTGGGAATTTTTTGCCTTAGCCAGAATCTAATAAAAAAGCTGCTGAAGAGAGAAAGAGCGGGGAAAATGCAGGATTTTATGAAGTTGCACCCAGAACGGTTTGAGTCAGATTATGGCTGTGCCAGATGTACATGGGCAGAGAGACGGGGCTTAAATAGAAGGTCTGGATCTTGTTTTCTAATATACATAGAGAAGACGTGAAAAAAAAAACACCCACCCTCTACACATTATGTAACCTAGTGGACAAACTTAAGCTCACAAAGAGAAAAAGGTTGTACAGTATTTGTCGATTAAGTCCTGTTTGAATTAGAGGTATTTCATGTATGAATTTGGTGATGTGGGGGGGGGGGACTGTGTATGTAATGATCTGTTTGCCATGTCATATGGAAGCTGTTTATGTGTTTGGCCAGCTTCGTGGCTGAGGTGTGTGTGGTTGCAGAGGAGTCTGCTTTTTCTCTTTGCATCTATCTCTCTCGTTACCTCAATGTTCCTTATTCTCAAACATCCAAGTCTGATTCCTAAAACATCTGTTGCTCATTAAAATCTGCAATTTTGCCCCTGACATTAACTAATGATGCACATCAACCACATGATTTAAGGATTTACAAAGACATAACAAAGGCTTTGTGCGCTCAGGTATTTTCTCCCTGATACTATTAAAAACACAATTGGGCAGCGTTCAATTTCAGCATTAAAAATACCTGACATGAACTTCTGCACCTGTGCACAGGTACAGAGCCAGGAGCTGGAAATGTCTCAGTTGAAAACAGCTGATTAATCCTGCAATAAATAATATCTTGACGCATCCACATTATGCATGTACACATAAATGCACAGAAGAAAATAAAAGAAAGATGTGATATGGCTAGGAGGTTGTCATTAATGGGAATTTGCGCCTTTTACTTTGATCCATTGTGGTCCCAGTCTCAGTCTCAGTCATTAGAGTCAGCTGGCCAGACAGCTCTGTGTTTGGACCAGACTGTGGTCAACATCTGGAGAACTAGCCTCTGTGTCTCTTACTCACAATGGCCTTCCAGTTGATCTCACACACATACCATCTAGCTTTGCCTGACAATTATGCAACAAGACAAGAAAGGAGAGGACTGGAGGTCCTCTGGTGCATTAACAGTAAGTTAAAAAAGCCTCTGAGCTGAAAGCTAGACTATGCTAAGAGGTAGTAACACCACACTGTTGCCCTCTGAGTTACAGTGGGCATTCAGCAACAGCTGCTGCCTTCAAATAGGAAAACAGCTCATAAATTTGTAAGCTCTAAGGTGTATGGAGAGAGTGACAGAGAACAAGGCAAGGAGAGAGCGTTTGATGAAGTAGGGCCCAGAGAAATAGGTGGAGAAAGGCGAAGGAGGGAGTGTGATGGAGTGAGGAAAAGACAGATGGGAGAAAGGTGGGGAAAGTATAAAGAATACCTGAAGGAGACACATAAAAAAAAGGCAAAGACAAATGGACAGATGGAGTCATACAGTTGTTACTTTAGTGTTTGACTGAGCACAGCAAGGGTGGCTGACACGACTATCAAAAAGCTAAAAGGAAAGAGTGACATGCCGGCCAATTTGACAGGGGAAAAGAGGACGTTAAAGTCATTTTACCTGTGCTTTTTATTCCCCTTTTTATTCCATTCTCTCATTTAGCCCAGCACAAACCCACCAGGTGGGAAAATGGGCCACTTGGTTTGTATTTATTGCTTCTTGTTTCCAAGGTGACTGGGTTTATATCTTTAGGGACCACTGGTACTGCGTTTGAGGGTGAAATGAGGACAAAATGCACCACCTTCCTGCAACATGTGGATGTACTGCTAAAGGAGCGTGGCACAGAATGTAAAATTTTACAATCCATTTTAAAGTCGGCATTCACTCGCGGCTGTAACAAAATGTTCCGCTCAGTGAGAGTCGATCTGAATCGCCATTTATTACATTTAGCCTATTCTCTCACCAAACCGTCTTCGATATACTCATCAGCAAGTGGCACAGAGCCTCCGCAAGACGTTTACGATTCTAACGCCTCCAAGTCCAACAAGACATGGAGACTATTAAGGTGTATTTACAGTCGTTTGCTTTTATGAACTGCCAGCTCTCTTTAATGGGCAGCAGCTGTAAGGTGGACAGAAAGTGACAGCTTTGGAAAAAGTGCTGACTCTGGTGTCATTCAGGAAGAGTGGCGAGCTTTCAAGGATGATAAGAGTGATATTCTGGGGGAAAGAACTTGAAATCTGGGAAAGGAAGAGCATCATAAGTCGCTGACAGTCCACCACATTGAAAACATTGAACTGAATTGAGAAAGTAGTAAGAAAAAAATGCACTTGAATTGGCTCTTTGTGAGATCATAAAAGTCAGTGGAGCACTATGGCTGCCTTGAATTTATCTCAACAGCAGGCCTCCTGCTTGCAGATAGTGGCAGCTACTGTGCTGCAGTTTGTCATTATGAATAAAAGCTATGTGCCACCAGAACCTTTTACCTTTTACTGTCATTAACAGAGCTTTTTCTATAATTAAACAGGCCCGCCTGGGACGCATAATGAAGAGTTTTCACTGTATGTGACATTCTCCTCCTCCTCTTTACCTCCTCTTCTATCACCATGTGTTGTTGATCAGCCTGGTGGTGAAACGTGCTGGTGATTTAATATTAGAGATTTAGAACTACTGAAGTGGTTTATAAAATAACATACTCACACAAAAACACACACACACCCTTATCATATGAGCTCACCACCGGACATTTCACCAGAGTCCTCCTGCTCTAACATCCTCAGGGAAATGCCGTCAACGTAGAAAACTCTGCAGTTATGTCAGTTGTAGTGCACATGTGTGAGTAGTCATACACTGGCCCTCTGCTCTTACAGTATGTGATTACTAACAAAACAAAATGTATCTTAAAATTGGCTGTGGCATTTCGCTGGAAACTACATTTACAGTAATTTCCTTTTGTGCTGGCGTCCATTTTTGGAAAAAAAGCAATAATAATTGTTTAATTTACAGTCTTCACTTACCTTGGCCCAAAGCCAGTGAAGCCAGGAAAGACAGCAGGATTGCCATCTTATTTAATTCCAACATGGTAACACACCTTCAGTTACAGACGTTTTTTTTTTTTTCTGATCCTCTACAGACATAAATTTAAGAAGAAAATGGACAGCTTGCAGATACAGCTGAGAGTAGCCGCTTCAGCTTGTCAGGTGTGAATGATGTTGCCGGTCAAGCAGAGCCTTGCTGCTGCTCTTTCTCATGTGAGTTGAGTTGCTGAGTTGGAGACAGGAGCTCAGGGGTTTTTAAAAGAAGGGGGCATCGGGAGTGCACACCAATCCAGCCCCTCTCTGCTCACTATTGGCCAGTGAAATGTAACATCTGGGTCCCCCATATCATCTTCCAAAAAAAGGTGAGGGTATGGTGGACACACTCACAGAGAAGGAGGGAGGGAGAGAGTGTGCATGTGTGTGTGTGGGTGTGTGTGTGTGTGGGTTGCTGAAAATAAAAAGGTGTTTTCCTGTTTGTCCAGGCGAGAGCTCATAAGTTTGGACTTTTTTAACAACATTTTCATATTTCTTTGATTTGCAAACCTCTTTTGCAGTGTAGTTGCCTTCTATGCACAGCAGGTGTGTCTGTGCCAGTACAAAAGAGCATACAGTACTTCTGGATGCTTCAGAAACGTAATATAGTTTTATTTCGTAATATATTTTATTTATTTGCTGTGGGGGTTTTATACATTCCAAATATAGAAAAGTGGTTTGAAACATTTTTGTGTCATTCATGATAACAACTTGGGGGCTTTGTTAACTGCGAATAAGGGAAGAAGCTCTAATCATCTTCTATAAGATTTCATGTCCTTCATTGGCCACCCGTCTGTCTTTCTCTGTCTCACTCTTTTTTATCTGTCTCTCCACCAGACACAGGACAGTGCCAGATGCTGCTCTGCCTCTGGTTCGACTTCTGGTTCAGTTTTGTAACTTTTTAACAGTCGCTGATTGCGGGGCGATGCACTGCCAAAGAGTGGAAGTGGCGTCATATGGCATGCCATTCAGGAAAAACTCCTCAGAACGCAGACACGACATGCTTATGAGGTGCAATGTGCTCTGGCTCATTTGCAGCCTATGAATTGTTGCAATTTAGCAAAAACGCTTGTATTAAAAAAAATCCATGGAAATTAAAAAACGTTACGTACATTCACTTTTGCAAATCCCTCTTGTTTGAACATAAAAAGGTGTTAAACAACAACTTTTGAAAGAATGTCTTTTCAGAATAAATGCACCTCTTGAAAAGATGTTGTTCACATTATTATATAAGCCACACACTGAATGCCTCTCTCAATCTTGATAACGGTTGGTGGGACAAGGATGGAAATGGAAAGTCCAGGATTTTATTGTTTAATCCCTGAGAACGTTTCCACAATTCAGTGGAAAAGGTAACTAAATTCACTTACTAAAGTACTGTACTTAAATATTTAGGTACATCTACTTCTAATACACTACATTTATCTGACGGATATAGTTACTGGTTAATTTTCAAATTAAGATTTCACATTCAGTAAAAAAATAAAAAGGCTCATTGTCGCGTTTCAGATGTGTCTAAATTGTTTGGAGTACCACCAAAGAGATATTTCCCCTCTAAACTTCTCAGATGGTTTCATTTAAATAACTGTTTCAGGGCCAAAAAGAAAGAAGATTAGAAATATTCTTATAGATATAAATTTGGAGAACTTTTGTTTCATCTTTTCTCTCTCATTAATAATCACCTGACCCCTCAAATTTATCTTGCTATAAACTAGCAAATTAAGTAGTTAAAACTTGTTCCACCTCAACCTGAAAACAAAAGTAAAATGATTGGTCAAACAGGACATTTTACTGGAGAAAAAGTCCACTTTTCTGGTAATATTTCTATACAATGCATTTACAGTTTTACTTGTACTGGAGTATTTTTTAGATTGTTTCATTATTGGTACTTAAATAAAGAATATTCTTCCACCACTTTCACACTCCAGAGTTCTCAACAAGTGAAATCAGTAATAAAGTTAATAATAAACCAATCCATATGTGCCTACATACCATTTTGAAAGGACACCTGAAAACTGGCCCACAGGTTGGCCATTGCAATGTACCAAAAACTCAACTTGTCCAGTAATAATACAATGCTTAAAATAGTCTTTAGATAACTTAAACTATTGGTTGACGAAACATGTTTTATATGAAACATACAGTGATTTTAACACTAATACTTATCACAGTGAAAAAGAAGGGAAACACTTTTAGACATGGTTCTGTAAACTATTAAAATTTGAGATTTTGTGTGTTATACGGTGCAAGCACTAGATTAATCTTTCTGCCTCCCTCCTGCACTCTGTTACTGTCTCCACTAAATCTTCTGACCGCCTTTCTTCTTCATGTAAGACTATCTCTCAATGGATATTACAACAAGTGCCGCTGTCAGTTTTGATTGTTCAATTCTACGGGCCACCGGCGACTCCAAAGCTCATTACTCAATCGCTCCCATGAAAAGCACAAACGACAGAGTGGTGACAAGTCGTTGTTTCCTGATGGGGGTTGGACAGGCATGAAAGACAGGACTACTGAGCTCTCAGACATATTTCTACAACCCTCGTCAGCTCGCCTCTGACAGATTTAATACCACAGAGCGAAAAAACGGATCGACATTCCTTTTCAGTGACTTTCCACACCCACTCACACATGTGCACACACTGGGCATTAGTGCGTTAGTATTCAGGAGAAGCTCCTGTGCTTTGTATAAATACACATTACCTCATCCATAAACAGCACAGGAGTCTCGCTTAGTCATTCTCATTGAAGCCCGCAGCACTGAGCTCAATAATGAGAGGCCCCTCTCTACAGCTGATTATAGCCCGATCACACCTGCTTATGGCTTTCATTAGCAAATCAAATCCAGTTGGGAACCAATAAACAGACGTAACAGTGTGCCCTCATCTAAGAAGCACAGCACAATTGCATGTGATGTGCATGTAACACAGCTATGTGGTTTTGTGATTGGTGACCTTTAATTGATTGGTGTCATTTAACAGAATGAGTTCAAGGGATGCTAGCCTGCTTAAGTGTCGCTAAGCAAGACACTCCCCCACTACCAGCAGCAGGGGGACTTTCACTCCAGATTTGAAGATCAAAAAATGAAATAGTAAGTAGCAGTATGGTAGTATGAATAATATCAGGTAAATGAATGCGACAAAAATGTCTGTGTTTCTTCAAAGATACCTCAATTGAGTTTTCTGTGCAACAAGCTGAAAACATAATTTTGTCACCATTATAGGCTAAAGGTGTTGTGGATAACATGTTAGCAAGCAGTCATCTATCTACACATCCAAGATACACAAAGCGACATTAGAATTAATTTGGAATCATGATTCTGGTCACCTGATTAATGTAAGGGCAATATTCTCAACTCCTTTCTACTCCTGAGGGAAATATTTGGCCGCTAAATGCTCCATTATGTTCACCAGTGTATCTGTGTGTGTGTCTGCTGTTTGTTGCTGGGCAGGTAGTATACAGTGGGGTTTTAGAGCTTTTTTTACTGAAAACATCTGCCTGAAAATGACGCCATGTGAGCAATAAGAGTGAACCCAAACAGTAAAGTTGTGGGCCAGACAGCTGAGGCGAGCTATATATTTGAGTTATAACCCCTTTCACATTGTCACATTATCATCTTATACATTATTATAAAAGTGTCCATTATAGCCAGTATTTTATGAATGTAAGTTATTTTCCACCAACCCCTGAGAAAAATATCTGGTCTTTTAGCTGCTAAATGCTCCACGTTCACCAGCTACCCGCAAACCTTGTCTGTATACTGTTAATTGCTGAGCAGGTAGCGTAAAGTGGGTTATCTGATCTTTTATACTGAAAACAAATGTCTGATGTGGCTGGACACATGGCTGATGAAAGCAGAGTTGCCGGCTTGAAAACCAAAATAGTGATCCAAATTAGGCTAAAAGGCTCCATGGCAACTGCAGAGTTAGTCTGTAATGCTCGGTGGGTTTGTCACTATGAGCCACTCCCTTTCACATTACATGTAGTCATTTCGTAGTCATATTAGTCATTATTAATATAAAGTATACTGATCGTTGCAGCTTTAAGAAAACAAAACACGAGAAACTGAACCATCCGTTTAAAGGAACTGTTTTATTGGACAACGAGAACTGTCTTGGCCTTTTGTAATAGCTAATGAAGTAATTTAAATAAAACCAATGCAGAAGTGCAGGCTGACAAACAAACCAAAAACACAACAGAAAATTCAAAGTTGCCAACCTACCCTAACTTATCGCAGCAGCACACTCCAGTACAACAGAAGAAGAAAAGAGCATCAGAACATGAACATAATGAACCTTAAAACTTTTTAAAGGAGAAAAAAAATTCCAGTGGTTGGCGTCATAGATTCATCTTTCTTTGCCGACTGTGGAAAAAGAAATTTCTGTCTTTTGCAAAGTAATCAGAAAACAGTGTAATGCTACAGCTTTTACAAGTAGACTGACACAAAAACTCCTCATGCCATTACCTAAAAAGACATGATTCAAACCACAGTTTCTAAATATTATCCTTCTACTGTAGCTCAACAGCACATTTGGCTAAGGTGTAGCCTGATCTACACAACTGAGATGTTAACATTAAATCACATTAACAATCTATAAAATAAAAAACAAGAGAATAGGTTAACCGTACGTTTTTGAAAATTAGGCCACACTGGCTTTCATGTTTCCCATGTGTTACAATTCTATGAGACAGTCTGTGCCAGGGTAGTCTGGGAGGTTAAGCTCGTATTTTTTCTGGATGTCATAGGGCAAGAAGCGTCCAGCCAAGAAATGCTTCCCCGAGAAACTCATGGCGCATTTCTTTGGTGCTGTAAGTGAGATGAGAACATCTGGATTAATCCCGTCCTGACTCGGTTCTTCTACATCCCAACCTGAGGAAGACAGAAAGGAGGGAGAGAAAAAAAAGGCATAAGGAGAGGAGGATTGAGATCATATTGCCTGTTGTGCTCACACTCAACAGGTAATGTATTTGGGGCAAGATTAGCTCACACTGAGCTGACTGTAGCATGAGATTTATCCTCCACGTGTGCCTCCAGACTTGGAAAACTCCTGCCTGGGAGCCAAGGCTCCTAGGGAGCTGCCTGGAGGTCCATCTATCATGTTGTCTTTCTGAGCCTCCAGCTTGATATCTACAGTTTGTATGAACACTTACCTGAGGGCACATCCACACTG